GATAGATAGATAGATAGATAGATAGATAGATAGATAGATAGATAGATAGATAGATAGATAGATAGATAGAAGTGGCTTGAAGTGTCGCATTGTAAGCATTCTTTATGCTTCTCATATGAAGATGTTTTATTACCTTGCTTAGGTAACATCCTGGGTGTTATGATCATGACTATTTCACCCAAGTCTTTCTTTGTTACAAATGAATTAAGATAACAATTCATGGTAGGTGAGAGCAATCAATCAATGGAATAGTTTGCCTCCAGAAGTTGTGGGTGCTGCATCACTGGAGGCTTTCAAAAAGAGACTGGACTGCCATTTGTCTGGAATGGTCTTCTGCTTCAGCCAGGGGGTTGGACTAGTTGACCTCCAAGGTCTCTTCCAACTCTTATTATTCTATGTTCGGTGTTTTAAATAGTCTCTCTGAGGTACCACCACCAAACTAACCTCATCTGAATTCCCAAAAATTTAACCAAGTATCAGAAGAACAATTTGGGGTTCCAACTTGATCCAAGGTTGCTCAAGAATAAATAAAAACGAGATCCAAACAGCTGTAAGGAAAGAAGAAGAAATATTTATTCCTAAAAGCAAGGAGTTTGCCAAAGAAACGGGGTACCACGGTATACTTTTATACGGAAGCTTCTCTTGGTGTGGAAGTGTCTACATGGGTTCTAGGACGATGATTGAAGTGTGTGTGTGTGTGTGTGTGTGTGTGTGTGTAGGTAAATCTATGATGTTTGTTCTTGTGAACATGCAGTTCCATTAGGAGACCTAATTTAATGAACTCTATTTGTATTTACAGACCTTACCCTTTGATATGAGGATTAGATCTGGGTAGTTTATTTGGGGAGGTTTGAGTAAAAGATTTTCCCGTGTGCTATTTTACTTTGTCAACTTAGTTTCAGCTTGACTGTCAATCAGCTAGTTGGAGACACTGATTCTCAGGCTATTGTGGATACTGTAAATGCTTTACTAGAAGATGGAACAGTATAAAGAATAAAACGTATTTTGATATAAAACTCCTTACACAAGGTTAGTGTGAGGTAACAGGCTAAAACAAAACAAAAGCCACCACCACTCTCTATCCTATTGTTGCCAAGGAAACTATATTGATATACTCATGTAAATTCCTGAAATCAACACCTGAAAATCTTCCATCTTTCCTGTTACCTTCCACCATTGGTATTTACTTACTTATTGCTTATTACTGTACCTTCTACTGTTGGTATCTTACTTTGTTATAAGTACACTGAGAGCTTATGCACCAGAGACAAATTCCCTGTGTGTCCAATCACACATAAAGAATATTCTATTTTCTAAGGGTGAACTTAAATCTATGCAAGCGTTGGAAGAACAAGGTATAAGAATGAATTGGTTTTCATATTTGCAAATACAATCTAGATTTGATAAAAATCTTAAAACAGAAGATCTCTATGATAAGTTGACTGCTTTAGATAAAATTTTGATGGGTACTGATGAAAGGGTAATTAAAAAACTCTATGGACATTTATTAGAATTTAAATTAGAGGAAGAACAAGTTAAAGAAATGATGATTGCTTGGGGGAAATTTTTTTGGATATGGGATTGATTTAGAGAAATGGCAAAAATTGTGGTCTCAAAATTATAAAATGACAATGTGAACTGCTTATAAAGAAAATTTGTATAAGATGTTTTACAGGTGGCATCTACCCCCGATGAGAATTGCGAGAAAGTTTAAGAACAAATAGGATAAATGTTGGAAATGTCATCAGATACCTGGTTCATATTACCATATGTGGTGGACATGTTTGGACGCAAAAAGTTTTTGGACTAAAATCCACACATGGCTGGAAAAAAATGATAAAAAAACACATAGATTTTAAACCAGAGATATTTTTATTGGGAATTATACCAGAAATATACAATAAAGAACTAAAATATTTGATTGTAAATGTTTTAACAGTGGCTAGAATTGTATTTGCTAAGAATCAGAAAAATGAAAAAAATACCTATGCAGGAGGAAGTTATTAAGAAAATTATAGACTGTGCTGAAATGAGTAAGTTGGCATTTGAAATTAGGGAACAAGAAGATTAACAATTTTATATGATATGAGATTTGTTTTATCAATGGTTGGATAAAAAGACATAGTAATGTAATAGACTAGTAAAGTTAGTAATAGAGGTTTAATAGATTGATATAAAATGCAATATAGATATATATAACCATTGGATGAAAATACAATATAAATTTTATAATAAAGTCTAGAATATCTTGTATAAAATGATGGAATAAATAGTCATTAATTATTAACAATTGATTAATATATAAGCATATGTTAGTTTGACAATGTGAGAATTTATATAAACTGTGAGTAATGACTATGAAAGGATAGCACAAAAATTTGTAACCAACTGACACACTGTATGTTTATAAAATGGAAGATGGCTTTATGTTTTTATGTTTTGTTTGTATATGTTTGTCTTAAAAAATGAAAACCTTTATTTAAAAAAAGAATATTCTATTCTCTATTCTATTCTATTCTGTTCCATTCCATTCTGTTCCATTCCATTCTTCATTATTCTATTCTATTCTATTCTATTCTATTCTATTCTATTCTATTCTGTTCTGTTCTGTTCTGTTCTGTTCTGTTCTGTTCTGTTCTGTTCCGTTCCATCCAATATTCTATTCTATTCTATTCTATTCTATTCTATTCTATTCTATTCCATTCCATTCCATTCCATCCCATCCCATCCCATCCCATCCCATTCCATCCAATATTCTACTCTACTCTACTCTACTCTACTCTACTCCTGTTACACAAGAGATAGGAAGACCACAGCTTCTTACATCATTTGTTAATTTAATGATCAAGGAGATTTGTGATTGTTGTTTTATTTGCTCAAGTAGGCATAATAGGGTAGTCTATCAGTCTCCATTTCATTAACTTTGCACCAGTAGTTATAAGGTCTAATTTTAGATAATTCCTGAATTGTATAAATTCCCAATTCAGCTCTAACTGCTGAAGATGTTCTTGGGTCTACACCCAAAATACATCTCAAATGCTGGGACTGTGTTTGTTCTAGGACTGTGGTTGAGTAAAGATCCCAAATTTCTGCTCCATACAAGAGCATTGTGGTAACCTTAGCCTTATAAACCTTGATTAATAGAACTAGGGACCCTGGATAACTATGGCTTTTTAGTTTGAGCAATAAATTCAAATGGTCTTTTGCTCTAAATGTACTCTATTGATGATGGCAGGCCCAAGATCCAGTCTTGGAAAAAGTTACACCCAAATATACAAAGGAATTAACCTGTTCAGTTGGTTCACCATCCAGTTGCCACCTATGTATCTGATGGTTTCTTCCAAACACCATTATTTTTTATTTAGATTTACCAATGATTGAAGAGTTATCCTGGCAATAAGAGCTAAATCTTCTTAATAGCCTACGTAATCCTACTTGTGTGTATGATAATAAAATCATATCATCAGCATAAAGCAAGCTGTTACAGTAAGTATTTAAGATCATTGGCTTATGTACCATGGTATCCTTCATTAACCCTGGCAAGTCATTGATGTAATGGAGCCAGGATACACCCTTGCCTTATCCCATTATTTATGCAAGTCCTGTTAGTCAGGGCCCCACTAACCACATATCGCACCCTCAAACAGGTACTTGTGTAAAGGGCTTTAATCAAAGCCAAGAGTCTGGGTTCTATTTTAAGAGATGTCAGTTTACTCCATAGTACATCTCTATTTACCATATCAAATGTTGCTGTAAGGTCTATGGAAGCAGCAAACAGGATCTTCTCTTATAGGCATATTTAGCAATTAGATGATTCAAGACAAAGCAGTTATCAATAGTAGATCTGCCTTGTCTAAAATCTGCTTGTTCTTCTGTGAGGATGTTGTTTTCCTCTACCCAGATTTCAATTCTGTTCAAAAGGTACCTAGCACATATTTTTGCTACAATGTCAATCAGGCTGCTGGGCCTATAATTACTAGGATCCGTTTTATTCCCTTTTTATATATACGGGGACAACTATTGCCATCTTCCACCCGTCTGGTATATGGCAGGTGTTATTTGTGTGTGTAAAAAGGCCTGCTAATACAGGGCCTCACCAGTTGGGAAATTTCTAAAATAATTCTGGTGGTAGAAATTCCTCTCCTGGGGCTTTATTGCTCTTTAAACTTTTAATGATGGACTGTATCTCCTTTTCTGAGACTGGTGGCCAAGGGAGGGAAGTTCTAGGGTTTATGAAATCACTGTTTAAAAATAATTTGTTTACTGGTTCGGTGGAGGCAAACAAGCACAGGTAATAATCCTCCCAATCCTCAGAAGAGATTGGTATAGCAACAACAATAAGTAGAATAAATAAGACAGTAGGAATATTTTTACTTAATTTTATTTCCCTTTTTTATTTCTCATCCTTGCAACTTCAGTGTCTTATTGCTTAATTTATTTGTAGTTTCTTCATTCACGCATTTTAACTTTCCTTGGACATTTAATTTATTATTGTTTTCATTTGGTAATATCTTTCTTTCTGTCATCTCTGTTTTGTAGACTATGTAATGCCTCTTCTCCAGCTATGTAGCCTTTGCTGAAAATTGATGATGGTTATATTTATTTATTTATTTGTTTGTTTGTTTTTGTCAAGATAATAGGTATAAGTAAAAACATAGTTATGAATACATGGATACATATACGAAAAAAAACAACAACAATAGGACAGGGACAGTAGGCACATTGGTGCACTTATGCACGCCTCGTACAGACCTCTTAGGAAAGGGGTGAACTCAATAGTAGACAGTCTAAGGTTAAAGTTTTGGGGGTTTGGGGAAGAAACCACAGAGTCAAGTAGAGTATTCCAGACACTTGACCACTCTATTGCTGAAGTCGTATTTCCCGCAATCAATTCCTGCAATTATGACATCCTGTTTTTTTCACCAAATCTACCTTTATTAAAATGACCCTGCAATCCCTTTCCTCAGGATGGAGTCAGAGTGACTAAATGTAGCTGAGTATTTGCTGGCCAGATCCCCTTCCCGACACCTATGTGGAGCACATAGCAGATATTTTCTCTTTGCATCCAGAGAGACAAATATCTGCTGCTACCTATGATTGAACTCACAGCCTCTATTGAGTTCAGGCCTAGGTAGCGGCAAGAGCTGCACCTCTAGGCCACCAAATCTTTCACCAAATCTAACATTATTGTTAGAAATAAAAGTATGTATAGTGAAGTCCATTTCATACATTTATCCCATTAACACACATTTCTGGCTGATTGACCGTTCCTGCAATACAATGTCCCATGTGGCAGTTTTCAGCATCTAGCTGAAGAATTTGTGTTCTACAGCCAGGATCCCTATAACTTGGGACAAATTAAACCATGTGATTTTTTTAAAAAAAGTACTTAAGGATCAACACGAAGATCACGTGAAGTGTAAATACCACTTTATAATGCCTTGGTAAGGCCACGCTTGAAATACTGCATTCGCTTTTGGTTGCCACGATGTAAAAAAAGATGCTGAGATTCTAGAAAGAGTGCAGAGAAGAGTAACAAAGATGATTAGTGGGCTAAAACTTATGTTGAATGGTTGCGGAAATTCTAGTTTGATGAAAAGAAGGACTAGACATGACGGCAGTCTTCCAATATCTCAGGGGCTGCCCCAAAGAAGAGGGAGTCAAGCTATTCTCCAAAGCACCTGAGGGCAGGACAAGAAGCAAAGGGTGGAAACTAATCAAGGAGAGAAGCAACTTAGAACTAGGAAGAAATTTCCTGACAGTCAGAACATTTAACCAGTGGAACAACTTGCCTCCAGAAGTTGTAAATGCTCCAACACTGGAAGTTTTTAAGAAGAGATTAAATAATCATTTGTCTGAAGTAGTGTTCCTGCCTAAGCAGAGGGTTGGACTAGAAGACCCCCAAGGTCCCTTCCAACTCTGTTGTTCTATTCTATCCATTATTTCATATAGGTTGCACTCAAACAAGCCTGGAGGAATGATAGAACATCTATCTGTACTTTCTATTAAAAGGATTGCCATCGAAAACCTCCACTAGTGCAGTTTCCTTCCAGACCATTTTTTGGATAGTGTGACATCCGCTGACCTGCTATTTCTGATTTCCTCACTTTGGTTGTGTGCCTGGCCTCCCATTTACAAAATTACCATTTTGCTAAAACTGGAGCATAATTCATTTTTTGGCGAACAAAGCCCCTTGTACCTTTGTGTTTCTAATATGGCTGAGTTACTGGGTAACCCATGTAATCATTGGACACTAAAGAAAGCCTTCCACGTATACTGCAATTAATGTTATTAAAAGGGTTTTTTAGCTGCTGCAGCTGTGACCCATTTAGTGAGTCCTTGTATCTACAATAGTTCCTTGCCTGGCCTGTTCCGTCTCAACATATCCAACAACATAGAGGTAATCCAGCAATAGAATTGTTGTTTCATTATCAAAATGGACACACTGGAAGTCATCAGTGTAAATATGAGCAAATGGTAGAGCTGTCCATATCAAGAGCTGTCCATATCTGGGCCAGGGGTGAGCTTCAAAAAATATAGCAACCAGTTCTCTGTCTGGTTGCTGGGTGGGCAAGGCCATGGTGGGCATGGCCTACCAGAACTTCCGGGAGGCCTGTTTTTCACCCTCCCAAGGCTCCAGAGGCTTTCCTCAAGTCTCCAGGAGGGCAAAAATGGCCTCCCCAGGCTCTGGAGGCCCTGCAGAGGCCCATTTTTTGTCCTCCCCAAGTCTCTGCACAGGCCCTGTAAGTAAGTACCTGGCATCCAAAACAGCCCATGTGGAGACTCCTGGGAGGGGGAGGATGGGTGGGGCCAGCCGGGGTGGGATTTGTGGGTTCACCAAACTGGGCAGAATCCTAGCTAGAGGATTGCCTGAACCCATGCGAACCTGCAGCAGCACACTCCTATATCTGGCCATGCTGGAACTTATCACGGCAAATATGCACAAACGGAAGAATTGTCTATATCAAACTTATAGAAATTAAGATGTTATTAGTCAATAGAATAGTAAGGAGCTCCACATTGGACAACATTTCAGAATGACTTGGGATGAAAGATTTCCACAGAATTGTCATGCCCCTGGTGGAGACTGACTCTGAGGGAGAGGAGGAACAGCCAACAGGGAGTGGAAATGTGGCTCTGGAGGTTGTGGAGGAGGCTGGGGAATGGCAGAGGCCAGCTGAGCAGTTAGAGGAGGACTCAGGTCCATCCCCTATCCATCCTAGGGCATGCAGAGAGGAGGGGATCAGGGAAAAATGTGGTCTACTTGGAGGAGAGGGCCATGATCCTCTTAATGGGTTGCAGGTGTGAGATCTGCATAAGAGTTGGGACCTGCATGCTAGCAAATGAAGACAAAGAGTGGTTTTTCCTGGATAAGGTTTATCTTGGTTGGCGTTCTTCCAACGGACTGTACTTGGTTATCTTCTTAAAGTTTGTAATTAATTATCCTGGTCTGTTGTGGAACTTTCTTCAGTGCGGTTTGTTTTTGGTTTTTGCTTTGTTATCTGCTCTTTGATTTTGAACTGTATTTCTTTCGTTTGGAAAGTTATTTTGAAAATAGTTTAATCTCCAACTGTAAACAATTGAACAGTGAAGCCAAGTTGAAGGCATTAAAGGACCTTTATTTACGTTTTGGTTTTTGTTATATTTGTGGTACACTCCGGGTCATCACAGAATTCTGCAGAGCTGTGAAATGCAAGGAGCGTATTTAAAGCTGTGCTTGATTTTCTACCACCCATGGAATTGATACCATGGAACACAATATGAAATATTGGTCAAGGGCAGGAAAGCACAGGCATCTTCACCAACCTCTTGGTGGTACTGATTCAATATACGGGGTGGCCTGTTAATCTTCTAAAATAGACCCTTTTTAGGAAAACTGGTCTAATAGATGAGCCAAGTTAGCCCAGTTAGATGAAAGAATAAACACAGCTTTCATTAATTAAAATCCTCAAATATATGCATATGAGCAGAGGAAAAAGAAGTTGTTCCCTTTAATTGGATAGTTTATAGTCACCAGCAGGTAAAGATGTTTGTTCTGTGGATATGATAAGACATCTACAAGACTGTGCAGCTAAGACATATATCATTGTCTTCTTCCCTTGAGGATAGTTAAGAAGTCCTTGCTTGCCACAACTCACACTGCATTCTCTCATTAGAAGGCTTCATAGCCTCCAGTAATTCTTCCATCTCCTCAAATAGGTTGGCTCAGAGAATAGATATTCACATTCTTTCCTCAGACACTAGCAACAGCAAGAAGGATGCCAACCCTGATCAGAAGCCAACCCTAACAACAACAACCATTAAGGAACTGAACTCTCAAACTCAAAAGATTGTATTCAACTTCCAATAACAAGTAGTGTCAGAAGGATCTCAGAGTGCTCTGAAAAGAGAAAAACAATCAGGCTTTGTTTGGGCTCATGTTTCTCATTTTCATTCTCCCCCACCATCCCAAATCGGAGTGGGGGGAATTATATTTTCTTAATGTAGGAAATGTCATTCCCTATGTGATGGCAAATCAATGCTTGGCATGGTCTATACACCAAATGGACAACTCACTGATTAAAAACTCAGCGTGAGAAAAGCCTTATGAAGGCTGGCAAAGACATTCAATGCAAATAAAGAAATATGTGAGGAGGAGGAGGAGAAGGAAGAAGAAGAAGAAGAAGAAGAAGGAGGAGGAGGAGGAGGAGGAGGAGGAGGAGGAGGAGGAGGAGGAGTTGCAATACTTAACAAAATATGGTTCTGTTTTTTCTTCCAGGGAGACTAGTTAGTTAAACAGATATTTAAAATGGCAGCCCACCAAATGTTAGAAGCAACATACAAACAGAAAAGGGAAAGTAGCCTCAGTGCAGAAGTGGGGATATGAAGAAATATATAAAGAAGGATCAAAATAATTTATCTTTCCTCAAAAGAATGAAGGAAACCAATTGGTGCTGGGTTCAAACCAAAATTTCCCATTGTTCCATGAGAACCTTCCTAAAGAGACATCAGATCTCAGATGGTGCACAGTGGTGGACAGCTTTACTTGCTAAAACTGTCAGAAAAGGGCATGGTTTTTCACAATCACTCTTAGATCGGTTGCTCTAAATAAGAATAAGAATAAAATAAGAATAATCAACAACCAGCTTGGGAACCTATCGTTCCCTGAAGTGTCTTATTGTGAAAACAATCCTCTGATAAGGAAACTATCAGCTGTGCTTTATCAAACCTTACTGGATACAGCAGCAAAAAAAAAAAGGGCACACAACTTTTCTTTCAGTTCTTCCTTTTTGTGCTCCAGTCTGTAGCAAAGTGAAGTCAGGGCATAACCTCTTTCAAATGATCAGACTTTTCTGTAATTACCTGAAAAGTCCTGATTGACTTTGACTGGTTTTATCTTTTTCTACTGTCCTTGAAGGAACTTGTTTCCGGAATCTGTTTTGCCTTTGACTGTTCTCCTTCACTGGTGTGCAGCCTACATGGGTATTCTAACAGACAGAGAGCAAAGAAGTGATGTGGTGAATTCCCTATCCAATGCTTAAAGCATTGCAAAACAGGGCAAGCTGTGCGGTTGTTTACCCTTCTCCCATTTGTATTTAAGTGGGCAAGATTTGCATCAGAACATTCAATATCTGACATTCAAAAAATAAATACTTTCTAATTAAAAAATATTTTGATTTTATGTACCAACACCAATGGTGCCTTTTGATGCCTCAACAACGCATATCTAGATAGTTTATTCAAGGATTCCCTCTTGTTTTTTAAACTTGAAATTAGAATTTCCCAATAAATAACTGCATTGTTGTTTTGGTTGTTGTTCTTCCAAGGAAAAAAAAGAAATCTATAAATGTCCACCGGAGACCTTTTAAATCTTGCAATACAGTCCCCTATGTAAGCTTGTTAAAAGAAAATAAACCGTTCCAATGTACTAATTCAGTGTAGTTGCTGAACTATAAAAACAAAAGAAAGATGAGTAAGGGAAAGAAAAACAAGTGCAGGCTTTTAAAACACAAAAATAAACTCAGAGTGGAATGCATTTGTCACACATGTAGAAAAAAGATATTGTAATATTAGTAGATTAAAAGAAGAAAGTCAACAATGGATGGAAACTGGTCAAGGAGAGATGCAATTTAGATAAATTTTCTGAGAGGGAGAACAATCAACCAATGCAGATAGGTAAACAATCAACCAATTCAGCAGGTTCTGACCAGTTCTGGAGAACTGGTCACGGAAATTTTGAGTAGTTTGGAGAACCGGCAAATCCCATCTCTGACTGGCTATGCCCCCCATCTATTCTCTGCCTCCTGAGTCCTAGCTGATTGGCTGGGTCTTCTTTGGTTGCCTTGTACAGGAGAATGGAGCTGGAAAGCAGGTAAGTGGGCTGGGGAGGGAATGGGATTTTGCAGTAACCTTCCCCCAGGAGTGGGATGGAAATGGAGGCTTTGCAGTATCTTTCCCCTGCCATGCCCACCAAACCATGCCCACCAAGCCACACCATGCCCACCAAGCCATGCCCACCAAGCCACACTATGCCCACCAAGCCATGCCCACAGAACTGGTAGTAAAATTTGTTGAATCCCACCACTGAAGCAATGGAATGGCTTTCCTTCAGAAATTGTGGGAGCTTCATCACTGGAGATTTCATGAAGAGACTGGACAGCCACTTGTCAGAAATGCTATAGGGTTCCTGCTTGAGGAGGGGATTGGACTAGAACACTTACAAGGTCCCTTTCAACTCTGTTATTCTGTTATTTGTGAATGACAGATGTCTGAAGGCTATGGCCCAACTGAAAGCAAATTAGACAGCAAAAAAATAGTTGACAACTTTTTGTAAGCCTCCTTTGAAATCTGAGGAGGAAGTGAGAATATTCT